CTAACCAAAGGGCTAAGGTGCTAAGTTAGCCGAAGGTGCTTAGGGGGATTAGATGGTAGGGTAGAGGTGCTAAGCTAGCCAAAGGGTAAAGGTGCTAAAGCGACAAAGGGGTGCAAGTGAGTTTGGCGCAGTGAGCAAAGCACAGCTAAGGTCGCAAATGATGATCATGCTGAAAAAATCCTAAGTTTTTAGGCGGGAAAAAGCTTTGATCCATGGAGCAGATCAAGTGACAAGGAGCCTGAAAATTTTCTAAGTTTTTTGGCGGGAAAAAAACGGAAATTTGAAAAGGGGTGTACCATGAAATGAACAAACACCAAAATATTTTAAAACTTATTTATTATACATCGTTAAAACGAATACATGTAAAACACGTAAATTTCAATCCAAAATATCAATCTTTAGGCAAAAAATAAATGTAATTTTTTTAAAAGTAATACTTTGTATAACCTGAAGCACGTCGATTGAATATCGGGACTCTTGTTCCATTTTTGATTCTTTGCTTTGCTGGCTTCCATGATTCGGCAATCTAGTTTAAAAAACGGTAGATTAATTAAATAAGTGAATAAGAATTTAGAAATCAATTTAAAAAGAATGAAAAAAAGGAAGGGAAAACTCGTAATCTTGTGGACAATAATCCTTCTCTTACCAAACCCTTCTCTTCGATTTTTCGTTAGAAAGCTGAGAAGGTTTTGGGTACGAGAATGGATATTAATGTACGTAATTTAAGACTCGGCTTTAAATCAAATGATGGGAGATAAATGTTTTCTATATATGAATGTAGGAATTAAATATAAGGGAGGGACGAAATTCGGTGTAAATAACTTGCCAAAAAGTGTGTTTTTTTCTACAGGTTATTGAAGAGATACTGTTACGTACAACTAGATATAAATACAACAACATTCTAGACAGTTCTAAAGATTGGCCGCCGGTTCAAAATCAGTATTATTACAAACCAAAGAAGCCATTGCGCAGTTTAATAATCTCACTTCAGCATTGACGAGCAAARCATACTCAAAAATTAACGAATTTCAACGATTTTTATTAGCTTTTCTAAACCTAATAGTTAAATAAAGTTTATGTTTCACATTACCTTTAGTTTTAGACGTCTAGGATCTTTATTACGGCTGGTTTCTCGACATTTTTGGAACACTTTGATGGCTTCTTCTTGTCGTTTTTCAAAATGGCGGAACAGAACAAGCTTGTTGGATGACTACGAATCCCTCGAGAATGAAAAATCTGCATGAAAAAGAAAAGTGTACTCTTAAAAAGCGTGATCTATACGAAAACGCCTTTCGTCTTCAAAGACTTTAGAATGACCACTCCCTTGAGTGTCATGTCTTTGTCTCTATTGACAATGAATGTAGATAGCAATTAATAAGTCGTTGAAAAATGGAATGTTTGTTTGAAAATATGTCTTAAAAAGCACTTCAGTTTTAAAGTAACAGGACATTTAATACTTCTTAAAACAAATTCCTTTATTTTTTGTGTAAGATATTATTTTTATTACTTCTAATTTTCAAGGATTTAAATTTACATAAAATTGAGTTTTGTGAATGCGGGTATTTCGTGCATAGTGAGATGTATTATTAACGTAATCTTTATTGGGGAAAAAAGATAAAACATACCAAAGTAGTGAAAAATATAAAAATAGTAGACCGCTGACAAGGTGACCGCAGACCAGAAAATTCCTTCACTCATTACACCATTGCTTTCATATGATCGAAAAAAATAATTTCAGAAACATAAAGCCCTCATCCTTAGCTTTCTTTTAGTGCATATTTTTCTAAGAAAAACTCTATTTATAATTTCAATAAAATTTGGGACCTTCGAAACTTTTATGAATTAATGCCAAAAGTCCAAATATGTTTGTGCCAACATTTAGAGCTAATAAGGGAGTTTCAAATACATCTTGCGCATTTTGAGAGAAATCTTTAGTGTTTTTTTTCCTACAAAGCGTTTTCTGGCGATCAATGGAGTTTGGGATCCCTGTGGTAAAATAATGAAACCACAGGCAACCCAGACTAAATTGTTTTCGCCTTTTCATTTTCAACGTTCTCAAAACTTTTCAAAACTTTTGCAAATGCAGTTATTTAGAGCATTATTGTAGGTGTTATTCACGTAATTTTTGTTGAGCATGAGAAGCAAAAACATACAAAAAAATGCAAAAGTGTAAAAACAGTATACCGCTGACTAGTTGACCGCAGACCAGAAACTTCCTTCACTCATTACACCGTCGCTTTTATATAATCGGAAAAGATAGTTTCAGAAACATAAAGCCCTCATCCTCAGCTTTCGTTTAGTGTATATTTTGTTTATAAAAAGCGAATTTTTAAATTGACGAAAATTTGGGACCTTCGAAAAAACGCGATTTTAGGRGTCTCAACTTCAAAAGCCTTGTTCTCTAAGAAAAATTGCGAAAAGTCCAAATTTTTTTGTGCCAAGACTTAAAGCTAAGAAAGTAGTATCTAAGGCACCTAGTGTTTTTTGAAAGAAGTTTTTAGTTTTTCTCCTATAAAGCGTTTTTTGACGATGATTGGATTTTGGGATCCCTGTTGTAAAATAATACAGGTTCATAAGACCAGAAATCTGAATTTTTTGTGGCAAAAAAATTATATATATTTATAATTTTTGCTTACGATATAATTCCAATGTAATGAAGATGCATGCAAGTGGAACCTGTTAATCTTTTTCCAAAAACGATAAATAAATCAATTTATTTTTCACTGAAAAAGATCCTCAATTTATACCAAGACAAACGAAAGGCAATCGTTAGATAAATTAATAAAATAATGMAATAATCATTGCTCGTATAGTTGTTTGTTGGTTCTCTCCTGTGCTTCGAGGGTTTTTTTCTTGGTTCTACGGTACTCCTCCCTCCACAAAAATCAAGGCCACAGGTTTGTTAGCCCCTGGTTATCAAGTGCCAACCCTCGTAAAACAAGAACGGTATGTTGTAAAAAAAAAAAAAAAAAAAAAAAAAAAAAAAAAGACTATGAAACTTAATTTATAGCACGCATGATTGCATTCCTTATGAACCAGGTTATTTTACCCATGGTTTCAATAGTTGAATATAGGATTGAATATCTTGGATTATTTGTTTTTTGAAAGGATTTTAATTTTTTAATTAGATTTTTAAACGCCTCTTAGTCAACATATCTTGTCAGGTTTATCGATTTGCGGCAAGTGATTTCAATGTTTTATGTATATATATACCGGGATTGCAAACACCTGTTATACTGGAATTCTCCTGCTTGCAAATGTCCAAAAACAAGTTAAACAGTTTCATATGGCATTGGATATTGTGGATTAGTCGCTTTTGAAATGATTTTTATTTTTTAACTTTTTTTAAAGAGCGTTTCAGGAGGTTGGTGCGGATTGCAAGGAAAGCGATTTCAATATTTTTTATATATCGTGCTTTAAAAAAACCTGTTATACTGGATTTCTCCTGAATAAAAATGTCCAAAAACAAGTTAAATAGTTTCATATAGCATTGGATATTGTGGATTAGTCGCTTTTGAAATGAGTTTTATTTTTTAACTTTTTTTAAAGAGCGTTTCAGGAGGTTGGTGCGGATTGCAAGGAAAGCGATTTCAATATTTTTTTATATATCGTGCTTTAAAAAAACCTGTTATACTGGATTTCTCCTAAATAAAAATGTCCAAAAACAAGTTAAACAGTTTCATATGGCATTGAATATTGTGGATAAGTCGCTTTTGAAATGATTTTTATTTTTTTAACTTTAATTTTTTAGAGCCGGCGTTTTAAGAGGTAGGTGATTGCACGGGAAGGGATTTCAAATTTTCGTTTTCAATAAAACTTACATGAATTAACAACACCTCTTATAATGCGCAAAAAACTGCGTTGAAAAAAAATTGAGAAAAATTTTGAAAGAAAAGTTTGAAAATAAAAGAACGAAAAGTTCCAGTCTGTGTGCTGTGGTTTCTCTAAGGTTAAGGCTTTAAGCAAAACGTAGGGAATGTATCCAAAAAAATGATACCTAATTCTATAAAGCTCTATAAGAATTCAATTTTCTTTTTAAAAAAAAGAATTTGAATTTTTATTTAGACCAAAATGATCATTTTACCACAGGGACCCCAAAGTCACTTCAATATAACCACAGGTATCCCGTAAATGGTTCCGGGGGTGGGGTTAACTAGAGGATCACATGGTTTTTATTGCGCTAGAGTTAACCTTTTGATGTGGCAACAAAAATCCTACGAACTCCCCCCTCCCTAGCTAGGGATAAGCAGCGATCAGTTGTGTATGTTATGCATATTAAACAAACACCGAAATACACCAAATAAACTTGATTGGAGAGTGACAAACCTGCAGTTGTTTTGTAAACATGACGTACCAGGCATCTAGGTGTTGAATCCAGCCAGATTCTTGACTTATTCCGTGTTCCATCGTCGTTTCTTTGCTCAATCATATCATCAACATGGAGGACAACACAATAAATCTTTCTCAAGATGCAGTTCGGTGCTTAACAAATGTAAATTTATTTACCAATAGCTTTTTTTCATTGGACTATTCAGCAATGAGGAATGTATCTTGGGAAACGCCTATTACGCGCTCCAGAAATTTAAAACTAGAGATAAAAGGAATGCTTTTTGAGCATTGTTATTCCTTGCTGAATATATCCTTTTGTTCCCAATTTCTGTAAAAGTTATCACTTAATATAATAGAGGGATTTTACTGGGCCCGTGAAAAAATAGTTAGCATACATAGTATACACTAATTCCATTGATTTCTTTTGTTCTACTTGGACTGTCAGTCACTCATTATACAACCTTGTTTCACGAGCCAAGTAAAATCACGCTGTGGGGCAGGGTGGAGAGGGGGACCCTAGTCCAGTTTTTTTTATAAAGTCAACTTGAACACAAACACCATTAGTCACACATAAGCAAAATGACATCATGTGATATTTTCCCCCACCACAGATATCTAGGCCTTGCTACTGGCCTGCTCTAACATCGAATACAAACCTACAGATGAAAAAATTACACAATAAAAATACAACTTTATTAAAATGATAGAAGACTCTACATTTACCAAATACGATGGCATTTCTATTATCAAATGCGTTACTGTAATCGTTTACGCCGATTACGGTGTTTAAAATACGGTACTTTATCTTTATTATAGTATAGTATTTAAGAAAATGTTGTGCATCAATGTAATGCATGGGCACCGTGAAGCGCGCGACACACAACTRCACACGATGTATGTAGCCAACTACACACGCATTGGGCACGATATACATATGGACAGTGCACACGATGTATCCAGATCACATCATGCACGCTACATGATAAATCTAATACACGCATTGGGCACAATATATCTATGGACARTGCACACGATGTATCTAGATCACATCATGCACCCTACAGGATAAATCTATCACGCATTGGGCACAATATATCTATGGACAGTGCACACGATGTATCTAGATCACATCATGCACCCTACAGGATAAATCTAATACACGCACTGGGCACAATATATCTATGGACAGTGCACACGATGTATCTAGATCACATCATGCACCCTACAGGATAAATCTAATACACGCATTGGGCACAATATATCTATGGACAGTGCACACAAGTATCTAGATCACATCATGCACGCTACAGGATAAATCTAATACACGCATTGGGCACGATATATATATGGCCAGTGCACACGATGCACCTAGATCAGATCAAATACACTGTGCATCATATACTAACAATATATCCCGTGGATCTAACACACCTGGTGTGCGCAGCGTATCTAATACATGTAGGGGGCACAGGGTATTTAATACTCACTGTACCCTGCTCATCTAACATATCAAATACACTGTGCATCATACACTAACAATATACCCTGTGCATCTAACACACCTGGTGTGCGCAGTGTATCTAATACATGTAGAGTGCACAGGGTATTTGATACTCACTGTATCCTGCTCATCTAACATATCAAATACACTGTGCATCATATACTAACAATATACCCTGTGCATCTAACACACCTGGTGTGCGCAGTATATCTAATACATGTAGAGTGCACGGGGTATTTAATACTCACTGTACCATGCTCATCTAACATATCAAATACTTTGTGCATCATATACTAACAATATACCCTGTGCATTTAGCAAACCTATTGCTGACAGTCGTAATGCCTACTGAGCACTGCGCATGTAATATAACACAGAATAGCCATCCTTTGATCAACATGGGCCTTACTCACGTGGAAACCATGTTTATTCTCATAAGAATACACTTGTATATGAGGCTACACCCGGTGCAATCTAATGTTCGAACCAACATGGCTGCCACATGAAAAAGGCCCACGAACAGAGCAGATTTAAATTTAAATAAAGCAATAGATGACAACAATCCTTCACCTTGTATGTATCCAAGCTCCAACATGTAATGCGTACTCCCTATCTTCCATGCATCTGTTCACTGGTCAAACACAAAGCATTCGACGATAAACACATGTGAATAATTGTCCAAGGTATTAAAAAAGGTCACAACGTTTCTCGCTTTCACGCAAAGGCTTAGTTACCTTTCAAGATGGCACCAGGAACTGTGAAGGGAATAAGTAGTCATTTCAAGGTGCATTGTGGGACTATAAAGGGGACATAGCTCCAAGACATCTATTATGTCTCCTAAAACAGTTAAGTCCCACAATGCACTGCAATGCTAACTTGACCCCAAGCTTTCCTGAGCCTGAATGCGTAATGTTCTTACCTTTCCACAGGAACTGAAAGTCTGATTACCAAGGCAGGATTCCCGCAATTCTTGGTAGTTTCTTACAGTCACACTTGTAAACCCTCTAAACTGATGTTACCTACAGATATCAAATATAAATATTTGAGAGACAGGATCCAATAGTAACATCATACACTGGACAAAGTAAGTGAGGACTGTTGGCAAGTCTCTCCAAAACCAATAACTACAGTGAATATAAAGAAACAAGAAGTACTATAGTGCATCACCAGGAAAAGGTACTATGATAGAAGCTACCATAAAGCGAATTACTACGAAAAAAGCAATGTAATCAAGCATTAGCAAACTTAACCTCTTTTTATTGGTTCAGTTATAAAGCACGCAGAAAGTGAAAGAAGTGTTCGGAGCTTGTAGTCGTCACACTTTTTGAGTGTTTTCGGTATTTCCCGTTAGTGCTTATTGATGAACAGGGCACGAAAACAGCCGCTTTATCATAGAGAAATAAAAAATCTGTTGTAGTTTCAGTTTAGTTCAGTGCCTTTTTTTTACAATTCTTTGAAACGCAACTGTGCTACCTTCACTAATAAACCACAGTTCTCTACCAATCAGAGCGTGTGTACTATATAAGATATATAATAATGGATAAGAAGCTGAATAACGAGTAATATCATGATAACACATGACTAGGAAAAACTCACTCAACTGGTGGTTATATTAAGTAAAGCATGAGATTTAGGCAGGGGATGATCCAGGAATTTGTCAGGGGGGTGTCGCAAATGAAGAAATGTATATAGTGGTATTATACATCACTTTAAAAAAATCCAAAAGAGTGTCCTTTACACCGCAGGGTACCCCCCTGGTTTTATCCCTGTTAGGCATGCCTTTTGAATTGAACGTCTCATTACATTACATCAACAGAGTAAAGAATGCCAACAGGAGCAGTTGACTGAACTTGTTTGGAACAATGAGTCCTAAGGAAAGAAATAATATTAAATTAAAACTCTGCGAATATATAGTTACTGGGAGGCTAAAAAAAAACCCCAAATGCTTCACATTTCTTCGAGAGAGAGAGAGAAGAAAAGCATATCGAGTAATTGTTCAAAAATGCCCATGGGAAAATAGGTGCTGTTCTGTACCTTAGAGACAAACAAGGAATTTGAGAAGAGAGGAATATCACGTATAAACTACCGTTTATCCTATGACAAATTCTGAGCCAAAACATGTCTATATATGGTTAAATTGAGAAATGAACGAATATTCATAATACGAGCTTTTCAGGAGCAAATTACAATAAACAACAGTAACAAGTAATATATTAAAAAAGACTATAAAATCTATAAAAAAGGAATATATACATATAGATTAGAAAAATATAAACATTATGTTAATATAGGATGTATAATAACAAAATTATATATTCTAATCTCATCTAATTCTATAAGCCATTAAAGGCTAAGAAATTCATTCTAAATCTTACGTCTTAACAGGCGTTTAAAATGCCCAACACTTTTGCATAGTTTACTAAATCCGGATAAACCAAATTTATGATAATTGGAAGCAAACAGATGGTAGCTAAAGTACAAGAGCGAATTACTTTGATCTGTATAATTACCAAGGCAAGTTAGCAAAAGCACAGACAGGACAAAGGGTAGTATCCACGAGTTCGATTCACGATATTCACGTGACCAAGGAAACGGTCAATTTTGCACTTCATTCCGTCTGGGAGTTGTTGATTTGGTATTCGTTCATAAATTTTCTACAGTTAACTTGACCGTAGTATTTATTTATTTTTTTTATTTTTTATTTTTTGACGTCTTGATCGCGTAATTATTGTGAAACGGCTGGAAATGTATTGTCGAAACGAATTCACGATAAAGAAAATACCTTTTTGATGAAATTTGCAAACACCGGCTCCTTAACTTGTCCAAGTGAATGCAAATTGAATACACATTGTATCCGTTAGTATCGACTTTAAATCGGCAATCAAATTGCAATTCCTTTTTTAAAAGTTTAACGCCTTATTATCTTTTCTAATTAAAGAATATTCTAAGACGATCTAAAAAAACCCACACTCTTTATTAAAAACATTCATATTTATACTTTACAAGAATGAGTGAAGACCTGCATTGAATTCTCGTTCTCTGATTGGTTAATTTGGCAGGTGGCCCTGGTCCTCATGTGTTCGTAGGCTTTAACCCCTTATTGACTAAACAATGGCACTCAACGCATGCGTACGTAATCTGGGCAAAAAAATACGAGAAGCTGATTTGGATGATATTCTTCGTTGATAATTATCAAGTATTAGTCTAATTTCAAAGCCCATATTATCGTTTTTTGCCTTGCCAAAGATCTGAAACTGGACTAGTTAATTACCTATAGTGTTTGTGGATTAGTATATGGTTTGYGTTTGGATCCATATCATTTTCATGGAGGAATGAGTATGTAGGTCAATATTGAAGCAATCTGACCAAAATGGATCTTTTACAATGCGTTAGACATAAACACATGTCTAATAAGCACCGAACGGATGATTGATACCACCCAGAATTGGCAGCTTATGCCGTAATGTGCAAGAGAAAGTTGACACCAAATTATGACCTCTGAAAAACGTCGCCGGATGTGACTGTTGGCAATATTCGGGCAACATATAAAAAGCCCCAAAGAGGGAGCCAGAAATCTTCGAAACAACCTCGATGAAGCCAAAGTAGGTTATTAATTTCAAAGCAATGATCAGTCGTAGAGTCTCCAAAGCCAAAGCCCTTGTGGTTTTCGGCGTTATTAATTTGGTTCTAATTTTGGCTGTCATCAAATTCTACAAGCTATCGGTTATAATATCACTCAAAGGAAAGAGTTTTCCAGAAACACGTAGAATATTGTTGGCTCGGGATACTAATAAAAAAAGGTAAGTTCAGCAACACATTATGCTCTAAAAATATATATTATAACTTTGCACTTATCGTCCATATCAATCGAATCAATGCCCATTCTAAGCCTCCATAAATGGGCACACACCAACGAATTAGAATGTAGTAATTAGTTGTGTAGAAAACATTGTCAAATAAAATTAGCGGAACATATATATACTACCATAACAAATAGGAATTAGTCGGTTATCTCGATAACTTGTTATGCATAAATGAAAACAACATCTTGCAGATTGTTCAGGACAGTTTTTTTTACAAATGAGTATTGGGAGAATATAAACTGCAAGGATGAAGTTTACATTGCCAATTATTGCTAATTTGCTTTTTCGTAATTTGCTTGTTATATGACAACCTTGTAATTAGGTGTATATTTTATATATAAGAAATATGAAATATGCGCGCATATCTCTGTACTGTGATATTAGGGAGCATTCAATGTTTAGGATGGGGAGGGGGCCGGAAAAAAAGCCGATAGCCCATATGCCCATATGTTCTAGCACACCGAGGTAAGTTTCGAGCTTTAAAATGGCCGCCAATACCTCACTGAAAACATCTGCAAAAATGCAGGGTTATTGCCAGAAAAAATCAGTGAGCCCACGTTTTCTTTCTTGTAAATATTTGATGCTTCCCTTAATTCTTCCGGCCCCTAGCCTTCCCCCTCCAAAAAAAATGAATGCTGCTTCCTTAACAAGCTGGTAGCTGTAGAGCACGACAGAAAGTACACCGTGGCTTAGGAATGCGAGGCGTAGCTGAGTGCTTCTCTTGGTTTTTAGGAAATATTTTAGGTTTTTTTATGTTTCGCGCATGCTGAGCGGTTATCATTGCATCCGACTGTTTGTCACATTGCAGCCAGCTGTTTTGAATTGTACTAGACACAACTCTTGCTTTAGTAATGTCATACAATAACTGGAGATCATGTTACCCAAAATTTCCAAATCTAGCTTATCGTAGTCTTCTTCAAATGGAAAAGACTTGTAGAGATAACTCTTACTAATGTCGTTCAATAACTGGAGATCATGTTACCCAACATTTCCAAATCTAGCTTATCGTAGTCTTCTTCAAATGGGAAAGACTTGTAGAGACAACTCTTGGAAACGAAGAGGGATGAGTTACTTGTTCCTTCTTAGCTAGTAGAAATGTGGATTCTAGACAACAACGTTAGCTTTTTGACACTTAAATTTCAAGCTCAATTATAGTCCCTTTCACAGTTCCCTGCGCCATCTTGAAAGGTAACCGTGCCCTTGCATTGAAGCGAGACGAACGCTGAGCTTGCAATGATTGAGACCTTCACGACTTCCCTTCAAAAAAGCAACAGCAACGCCGGAGCGAGAATAAATAACGTCTGGACCCCAGGGTAYGCACAGCGCTGCTTTACTAATAGAAATATAACCGCGTTATTTATACTCGTTTAATTTATTTTTTATAATTTACAGCTGTAGTTTTCGCAGATTTATAAAGAATTGATACATATGATAGTTGTTTCTCATCAGAGGGAAACGATTAGCAGAAAGCTGACATCAATAGTAGACCGGCTATGAAAGCGCATGGTGTTATTGTTTCTTTTGTCCTGCAAACTGTAAGATTTGATCAGTTGTGTAAATACTCTCAGGTGGATATACACGTTGAAGGAGAAAGATCAGTTCCATAAAATAGAATGATATAAGCTATCAGAATCCAGAGGTGATTGCCTACTATTGAATGTTCGATATGAGCCCAAGAGTGCGCGCGCGCTTGAAAACCGCTGAATTACATGCCATCCAACATGGCGACTACAACTCGTACCCATATATTTTTTATCAGGAGGAAGAAATATACGCTACCGGTGTTTAACTTCTTACATTTCATCCAACATGACGGCCACAATTTGTATACATATATTTTTTGTCATGAGGAAGAAATAAAGATATACGCTACCTATATTGACCTTTTTACACGTCATCCAACATGGCGGCCACAACTTGTATTCATAGTTTTTTTATCATGAGGAAGAGATATACGCTACCGATATATTAACCTTTTTTTTCTATTTTTTTTTTAGTTGTGTACCAAAGAAGAACGTCGTCTTTATCAAAACCCACAAAACCGGAAGCAGTACGATCACGAATATCCTTAGTCGCTATGGCGACCGAAACARCTTTGCATTCGCGCTCCCAAAAGACGGACATAACCGTCTCGGCTGGCCCTGGTTTTTAAAGCTTGATCACGTGTTGCATTACAACAATACCAAGCCCAATATACTCAGCAGTCATTCAAGGTATAACCGAGCTGTCCTGGAACAACTGATGCCTAATGATACCGTTTACGTGACAATATTGCGTGACCCGGTAACGCAATTCGAATCGACGTTTTCATATATGGGATTTGGGAAGCTTTTGGGAATAACAAACAAGTCGGATCCTCTTGTTGCATTTTTCGAGAACCCGAAAGAAATCCTTGTGAATTATTTACTAACACAAGACTTGAGGATTTATAGTGACAGACTCAAGCTTATAAGGAATGGTATGTTTTTTGATCTCGGGCTAGAGCCTAAAGACTTCGAGAACAAAGATAAAATAGATAAATCTATAAAAAACTTGAATTCCCAGTTTCATCTYGTCATGTTGATGGAACACTTCGACGAGTCACTTGTTCTTCTGAAACGGCTTTTGTGCTGGGACATCAACGATATGATTTACTTCCACTTAAACGAACGACACACTTCGCAAAAGAGAACGCATTTTTCTAATAGTTTAATCGATAAGATTCGAAATTGGAGCTTTGCGGATGTGAAGTTGTACGAACACTTTCGTAAAGTTCTGATCGACAAATTGTCTCTTCAAGACGAGGATTTTAACAACGAAGTAAAAAGTTTACAGTTTCGGAATTTCTACCTCAAGCACTCGTGTTTAACCGAAAACGACGATGCTACAACCCAAGGCTTTTATGATGCAAATGTTAGAACGTTCACTATTCGACAGCATATTACATCAGCTTTACGAAGAACTTGTGATCGAATGTTGTGGGATGAAATCAAATATTTGAAGTACCTCAAAAAAAAGCAAGATGAGATGCTTCGTACAAAGACGTCGTGGTTGGATAGCGTTCCAGTGTACAAGTGGTTTACCTCAACTATATTTAGTTGATAACGTTAAAATTCGCCATTTTCACATTCCCAATAATACATTGCGGTTTTGGGAGAGGGAAAAATCCRCAGTTATATTGTTGAAGATTAATCAAAATGTCCCCTTAAACAGTCACAGAATGCACTGGAATGCCAACTTTCAAGTTTACGTTCGATTGAAGAACGTTCTTGACATCACATTCTTTTGACCGGTTACCACTCAAAAACCAAAATCATTATGGGGAGAATGGCGCAGCGGAATTTATTCACGGAACTGCTAAATTCTGTCACAAAATATTAATTCAAACTTTGTAGATGTCCTTTTCTAATATTAACCTCATACTTTGTACTTAGGTTGTTCTTTGGTTGTTGTACAGTCTAAGTCTATATATTTGTTTTATTTTTAAACTGAGAAACCTTAGAAAATTTCGAAATTATAGTTTAATGGTATGTTTTATACTTTTAGTCATTTTAAATTTCTTTTAAGAATAAATTTAGGGTTAAAGAGGGAAGGGAGAGACAATGGGAATATCGTTACAGACTGGAAGAAAGCATGAAATTTGATTCAAAGTTAACTTTGGCCATGTAGACCATATTTAGAAGGGGTGCCACGAGGTCTGCTGTCCTGGGAGGTATTTTCAGTTGTCTTTCGGAAGGGTAGTAACAAAGAATCGGCTATGATGGAAGACATATACACATATGACCCACCCCTCCCCATGTAAAACCAATTTGTCTCCCCCTGATTTAGAATTCGCTGCACCCCTCTTGAATTTGTTTCAAGCGACATTAGGACACTTTGTACCAATTTTGGTGCTTTCTTCCGGATTGTAACAATCTAGGCATTAAGTAACCTCACTATCAGTAATAAGTGCTTGTATGATCACGAAGATGTCGGAAACAAAAAGTTTTTAAGAGAAATGTCGTGGAAACGCCTTGACTTATTTTGTCAAGACGACCATTCCACTTTCGTATGACTGTGAAAAGCTCAGTGACGTAAGCGTGCCGTGCTGTGACCGTGATGTTTTCTAGAATTTTGATTGGCTGATTTTTTTTCTCGCGCAATGTGATTGGTTGACAGTGCCGTGACCTTGGCGTGACCGTGTCCGCGCCGTGTTTATGCCGTGTTCCGGGTATTTGATTGGATGGAGAGAAAATTCTCGAGCAATATTGCGTGTTTGTGCCGTGAGCTTTCCAGTCATACGAAAACTTCTCGCGATCTATGACAAGCAGCTTTAATTCCTAAGCTACGTGTGCAACAGTACTGAAAAAAATAACACTTAACTAGTAGAATTTTGAGCTTACCTCCGAATTATCGCTTTGAATGACGGAAGACCAACTCTATCGTATTTGTATATCGTACTTGTAGTGAATTCACCTAGTGTCCTTGCTGCTTGAAATCTCAGTTCTTTCATCGCTTGAAGTCTCATATATTTTCAAATATCCCTGTATTTACGGCAGTACAACATCTATTTAATCTAATTAATAAGCTGACGTTTCTTTCGGCCTTTTCTATATTTTCACATACCTACGAACGGCAAAATAATGCAGTTGCTTTGAAAGCTATTCTGGTTGAGAAGCACTGATTGTAGTTACTTTTTTAAAAATCTTGCTTCAAAATGGTCGAATGAGTAGTGTGATTTTAATGTAGTGGTTCTCTAAAATACCAGTGCAAACTACGTGTCGTTCTCTGCGAAAAGGTGCAAAAAAACCTTGCTATACGAGCCCGAAAAGGGAAAAATTTCAGAGGAGAAACAATGCAATGTTTTTTTCACCCATGAAAATAATTTCCCAAAGGAAAGAGAATTCTATTGTATTTCTTATAACGAATGAATGCTCTTTTGAAGCGTACAAAGTAAGGTAAATCTTGAAATGAGGTAAATCTTGAAATACATGAACAATTTCTATAAAAGGTATTTTGAGGTTTGCAATCACTACCACAAAATAAAATACAGCTAGATCGATTTGTGTTTGATAAAGCAAAAGAAAAAAACTCATACAAAACCGTTGAATCCAAATGCGCATRAAATCTCTGGAATTTCTGCGCGCGCTAAATTTTGCGTTCCAAAAATCAATTAAACATTGTTACATTAACTGTCTGTTGACTTCACTCGTTTGATAATTCCATAAAACAAACTACGAATTTTTTGTTGTTGACAAGACAAAATGGCAACCGTAGATGATATGATTGAGATTTCAGAGATCAGTGACGCCGCAATAGCCGCAAATCTCAGGGGGAGACTCAATAACGAAAGCATTTACGTGAGTGATGGAAAAATACTAAAAAAGATGATTTATAGATAGAAGTATATATTAGCGAAGACTTAAATCATAGTTACGTTGGATTGTTGCGTTAGCGATCAAASTTTTTGTGGGATTAGGAAACCGTACGGCAAATTCTTAGTCGTACCGTATCTTAGCCTAGAATAAGAATCTCGCGATTGCACGAATAACTGCAAGATGATGAAAGATAAGATAGGGATTTCTTTCGCGCATTTATGTTAGAGCAAAAAATATGCAAGTTTGTATATATATTAACGGCGATAATTTTCACACCGCACACGAGGTAATGAACGAGTCTTTCCTAAAACGCTGATGTCACTTAAAGACGATCCTAACTACCTTAAAACGAGCAGTTGTGCGAAAACGAACTTTAGAAATGMAAAGAGCAGCTAAGCATTAGTTAAAGAACAAAGTTTCAGCTCATAATTGACTACTTTGCCATCCAGCATATTTTCCCATACAAATCTTTATGGAATATTTGATTTTATATTTAATGCCATTTCTCTCTCTCTTTTTTTTTTTTTTTTTTTGCTTGTTATGTGCTAAGACTCCCCTACCCTACTAATACCGAGGTGCTTTTTTCATTTCTGATATGTTCATTTTGACACAGCTGCTCGTTTTAAGGGAGGTAGGGTAACCTAACCTGTCTAACCTGTTAGTGCAATGTAAGTGCACAAAAAAAGACACCAATCTTTTTCACCTGCTCATATTACTCTAATTTGCGCATACTCTGTCTAMGTTTTTTGATCGCGTTTTTGGCATATTCATCGTATTCGCTAAGTGTGAACGAAAAACCAATTTTTTAATGGATGTGTTTTCAAACTGCGCAAACGGATACGTATGGATGCGACCGGATGTAAGTTTCGATCTAAACATAGTTAATGGAGCGGAATTGTTTATTCTCTGGGTTCCAAACCATTCCGCTCCATTAACTATGTTCTCAACAAGTATACTTATCAAAGCATAGTTAATGGGGCAATGGAGCTGCATTAACTATGATCAAGAGAATAATTAGCAAAAGACGATCTGCGCTTGCGCTCTGTATACGTTTGCGTCACTTTTGAAAACAAGGTCTTTAAACAAACTGTATACCAAATCAGATACTTAGAAGCAGCAATGTTATCAACAGCGGAGTTGGTTGAGGTGAGTGTTTCCACAGCGGCAATGCTAGGCTCATTCCTGGGCAATTGCCTCCTCTTCTACGTGTTGTATGTCACCAAATCCCTTCGCCGCTCTGCGTCGCCTAACTTGATACTCAACTCTGCTATCATAGACCTTCTAAATGCATTGATCAACATACCTTTCGCTCTCGACTATTTGATCTTTCAAACCGGTAACTTAGACAACCATGTGGCTCCTCCGTTTGCCAATTTCATGATCACATTCTTCTTGCTGTTGACCTTGCATTCAACGTTGGCCATGATGGGAGACAAGGTCCTGATACTCAAGTATCCAGTATTTTATCATAATCATTGCACTGTCAAGAAAGCACGCCTTGTTTGCCTAGCCCTCTGGCTGTCGACTACTATCTCGACACTTGTCTTGTATGGTCTAAGACACGGCTTACAAAGCTCCAATAGTTACTCCACTATGATAGAGTACCTGACTGCTCACCACAGAGGCAACGGAAAGTTTTATGTTTTTGCAATGATTTTTCTCGTATTCTTACTTCTTCTATCATTCTGCGCCATAACCTACCGAGCACTGAAAGCTGTCTTCAAGAAAAGAATTGAGCTAGAAAAAACGATACAATATACAGAAAAAACGATACAAGATACAGAAAAAACGATGCAAGATACAGAAAAAACGATGCAAGATACAGAAAAAGCGATACAAGATGCAGAAAAAGCGATACAAGACGACACGACAGGCGAAGAAAGGGAAAAAGATCTTCGCCAAACCGCACATATCAAAAAGAACTCTTATGCCTGTAGAACAGTTCTGATAGTACTTATGGTGTACACAATAAGCTTTTTGCCATCACTGCTGAACTCACTTTTACGAATACTGAACGTTACACAGTTAGAGTACAATAGAGAGCAGATCTTTGTCCCTCTTTTTTGCTCTCAACTCGGTGCTGTATTAAATCCTTTCATATTTATTATACGATCCAAAAATTACCGCAAGGTAACATTAAGTCTCCTAACAAGGCTCTGACATGCTGTAATCGTGCCATCAACATTCGACTTTCAAGCCTCGTTCAATGAAATCGGGGATTTGCTAACTTTAATAATAATGATAATAGGAATGATAAGCCTATTGCCATACTGAAATACAGCTAGCTGATGTAAAATCTAGTCGTACTGTTCATACTAAATAAACAAGGAAAAAAATCATTCAGAGGTTCGACAGTTTATGGTACTTCATTCTCTCTCTCTCTCTCTCTCTCTCTCTCGCTCTCTCTCTATTATTTTGATACGACTTTCTTGAAAACAATGTAAATTGAATGTAGCCACCGTAGTAAAATAAAAGAGTCACTCACTAACTCTCTCACTCTCTCTCTTCTTCACGTTTTTCTTTTTAAACCAAATTAAAAACGTGGTCAGCAATAGATAGACTGATAAAGGATAATTTGCAAAGAATTCACCCTTAATTAAAATGATAATTTGATTAACGAATGGTTCCGCTCCATTATCTATAGAAGAGAAATCCTTTAAGGGGGCAGTCAATAATCTACTTATGAATGACAGTCGGTCTGAGGAACAATCCGACCAAGACTTGGGGAGGGATACAGATTTTCAGATCACTTCCTTGTTTTTGATGAATAAATAAATACGAGAGGTTATGATCAACATGTCAGCGTAGAACATATATTGACAGTCATAAATATATTCTTAAGATGAGTTTGAAGTATCAATGCTTTGATAATGATACTTGATGACTAATGCATCCACTAGAAATAAACTTGACAGACCATTTCTAATTTTCATTCGATGTTATTGCAGACCAATATCGGACGAGTGTTGATATCTGTTAATCCGTTTAAAGAGATTCCGTTGTATGGGATGGGCGCTGTTGAACTATACGCGGGAAAACAGCTAGTCGAGGACAACGACCARAATACAGAGGAAATACTTATCCCATCAAAACGTGATAGAGCATCAAGGTTAGTGGGAATTACTTACAAATATCTAACAAATTAAACCCTTTTTGTCTTTCTCTTTGCTACTCTGCTCTCTGCCAGTTCCACCCACACCTCAAGCTTGGTAAAAAAAAAMAAAAACGCGTGTTTGCTTAATTCTTCGACTTTTTTTCAGATGTACAACTGCTCGTCTTGTTGGACTTCTATCTGTAGGAGTTTCTCGCGGTAAATTCAAGAACTTTGAGGCAAGCCACTTTGTATTAAAAATGAAATATTTTCATACAAAACGCGACAGTCATATCTGATTTTTGGAAAATTGATAACATCTTCGTCAATTGATATTTTTGCTACAAAGAAATCATGCAAAGCTATAACAGAGGCAACTACCAGTTTCTACAACGACTTGAGTTGAATTGCACTTTAAATTTTGTTTCATTGCAGGGGCCCAAAGCTCCACACATTTACGAAGTAGCAAACAATATGTTTATAAACATGATGATCGAAGGAGAAAGTCAATGTGTAATCATAAGGTACGATCTAGTAGAATAAATGTCATATTCAAGTACCTCTTAACATTAATCTTAATCAACACCTGCTTACATAATTCGCGGCTAACGCGTCGTCTTTCACCGCTGTGAGTCCAACGGGTCGGGTCGCTGGTTCGAGCCCTGCGGTCGTCAAATGTGAATTGAGTTTGTTTGATTGGTTGTTCTCTCCTATGCTACGAGGGTTTTTCGGTTTCCTCCCCCCGTAAATATCAGCATGTGAGTTGAGCGTTGTGTGCATAGAATATTGAATGAAGTGGTAGTGCGTGTGAGCGAAAAGTGTACGTCCCCAGTTAGTGCGAAAAGCGCTAGAACGACTAGACACTTAAATAAAGTGATTTATAAAGTGATTCACATATCCCGCTATCACACACACTCGTCTTCGTCCTGTTATACTCTGTTAAAACGGATCCCACCCCCCACTTTGACGTCATGTAACTAATCTTAATATGACTGCATTAACTGAATGACGTAAGATTCATAATCGATTTCGTTATCGCTAAGTGCACTTAGCTCAGTCTTTTTGTTGATTTAGTGGCGAAAGTGGAGCAGGCAAGACAGTATCGGCCAAACACGTGATGAACTTCTTAGCTAAAGTATCTGGCGAAGGGTCTTATCAAGTGGAAGTAAGAAAGCCGACTTAGATCTAGATCGATAGTTTTGTATAACTCATTGATGGAACTTTTCTTTTGCTAATAAAAGACTGAATGTACTTTTCGGGTGGACCCTGATGATTGTTAACCACGAACGGCAGTGTTTGCTCTTTAATGAATGTTTACAAATGGTAATTCATTCAGCCCGTGATTGATATCAAGCAAATGATGTGACACACGGTAGTTATTTTGTGGGGCAAAACAATACATTTTGCATTTGGGAAATAAATCAAATTTCTTGTCTCTTGCGAAGAAAACACTGTTTTTTCATTTCTTACAAGATGGCTTCCGTATGAACTACGTTATAATGGAAAMCCTAAAAACCCTATATGTCTTTAACTACATATTAAGGTTAATGTATACACTAACGATAGGCTAATGTATACATTTACGATAAATAATACGTTTGAATGATGGCGTCATTTGACTACTACTACCAGAATCCCTTGCACAGTTTCTTTTGATCAGTTAATTAGCACCAACTGTCTTACTATTGTCTTAAGGGGGTAAGAATTTCGCTATAGATCTTCTATTGTAAATAGGGTTATATAAGAAATAAATTATTATTAAGTAATAATTTAAAAAAGAAAGGAAATTTGCCAAGCATTATGGTAGTGGGAGTCAAATAACGCCATCATGCAAACGTCCTATTGTCTAATGCATGTTTCAGCACGTTAAGGATACCATATTACAATCCAATCCATTGCTAGAAGCATTTGGAAATGCAAAGACAGTGATGAATAATAACTCCAGTAGATTTGTAAGTAACATGACATGGTATACCACCGTGACATATGCGTGACATGATATACTTGTGTGACGTATTTGGTTATAAGGGTGCTAGCTGTATAAACCTAATTCGTTACGTTACAATGTTTTCCATTTCATTCCCAAGGGTGTCATTTCTTTGTTTAACGGTTGCACTTGGTTTCACATGCGAAGACACATGAATATGGATACCGCAAACAAAGAATCTTATTTTCTTGGGAAAGACACGTGTTCTGGTGGTCTGAAATGGGAAAAAATTGTAACGCAACGAATTAGGTCTATCGTGATGGTTGGTTTGTTGAGGGTTATGATACATGGTGTTGGTTAATGGTTTTGTATTGTAATTGGTCATATATGATGGGGGTGGTGACATGATGCTATCCACTGATTGGTTATGGTAAGAGTTGCATGTTATATATGGTGACTGATGTTGGTGATTGGCGGATGTTTGGAATGGTGCATGTTATATATGGTGACTGATGTTGGTGATTGGCTGATGTTTGGAATGGTGCATGTTATATATGGTGACTGATGTTGGTGATTGGCTGATGTTTGGAATNTATATATGGTGACTGATGTTGGTGATTGGCTGATGTTTGGAATGGTGCATGTTATATATGGTGACTGATGTTGGTGATTGGCTGATGTTTGGAATTCTTTCAACATGGTGGCTATGACTTCATGTGCAAACGAAGAATACTTTGATGTTGAGAAATGTTGAGGTGATTATACTCATGCTGGCGCATCATCCGAAGATTGTGTTGGTAGTTGAGGGTGTCGTCATGCAAAGATCGTATAAGCAGAAGATGGTGGTTTTGATGGACACGGCCGTGGTATATGGTTGTAGTCATGGTATCATTTGTCTTGGTATCCGTGTATTATAAAAAAAATAATAAAATAAAATAAAATAAAAAAGTGTTATCTATACCAACTTATGAAATGATAATCTTAATAGATCAAAATTTTGTTAATTACTAAAAATTTTCTTTTTTCTATTTATTGTAACAATCTAAAATGAACTGATCCATTTCCTATTTGTCTAATTTTCTTTTTTGTTTTTGTTTTTTTCTTATTGTATTTGTCAGTATTGATTACTAACTTATATTTAGTTGTTTTTTTTTTAAGTAATTTCTTTTTCTTTTTTTCTTGCACTATATAATTTTACTCATTCTCTTCCTGTACCAAATTTGCAATTATTTTTCATGTCAAGCAGTCTGCCTAGGTTAGCCTCATGGTTATTGCAGATAGCCTGTACCTTATAATTCGTTATATACACATTGTATTAGTTCTATTTTACTTTTTGGTACAATAAAATATGTATGTATGTATGTATGTATGTATGTATAAGTATATCGTTCTTTGTTTTATAATCTAGGGTAAATTTATGGAGATCCAATATAACGATAAAGGTCAGCCCGATGGAGGAAAGATATCTACGTTTCTATTAGAAAAGGTATTGTTCCGAAAGCAATAGACCTCTTTATCATCGGTGTAAAGTTTTCTCATTTCAATACCACGTGTCATTCTCTTGAGAATAATATTATTTGTTTGAGATGTAACCAAATTCACATGTCTTCTTATGTGCATTCGTTAAACAAAGAAAGGATACTGACTTAAGGTAATGACACGCGGTCTGATTTTGGGAAAACATTTCGCCCCAACTAAAGGGGTCTATTGAAAGACGTTTTTACTCATTTTCATTTTCGACTTGAGTAACATCATCTTTTTTTTAATTTGAAGTCTCGAGTTGTCTCGCTTGCCGAAGGAGAGCGCAACTATCATATATTTTACCAGTTACTTGCTGGATGTACCCCGGAAGAGATGGGTAAGGTGGTGTTGATATATTATTGCACTGAGATCATACTAAGTAGTCCACGCACAGTATACAGCTTTTTCAAAAAAGGATGGCGAAGGTTTTTTCACATACTGTTTTTGTGACATGTTGCATGATGCAAGTTGATTACCAAGCTTGGAATGTTATATATACTTATTTCAATAAAGTTAGTCRCCAAAGACCTAACAATGATAGGGACCTGTGAATAATTGTCCAAGGTGTTAAAAAAGGTCTCTAGCATTGCAAGCTCACCGTTCGTCTCGCTTCGATGCAAAGGCATGGGTACCTTTCAAGATGGCGCAGGGAACAGTGAAGGGGACTATTGGAACCGTGCAGTTTTACAGTCACATGAAAATTTTTCTACATGTATATGTTTCTTAAAGAAAATTCCTTCGGTTTCCACTTTGTACAGATGAGTTATCGCTTCACCTTGAGACCCCTGACAAATACCGCTATCTGAACACGACTGGTGTTTACACCATACCAGGCACAGATGATGTCGGCGATTATGCAACAACAATGGTAAGAATAAACTAGCCAAAGACATTTTTCATAAAGAAAAAGTGAAAAACAATTCATCGTGGAAAATGAGGATGTTGAAACAGCTGAAACTAAAATGCCTTAACGCAATTGTCTCTTTTAAAAAAAATAACTCAATGAATGATTCGTCTGTAATAGATCTCTTTACCTTGGGCGTAATATTTTCCCATTCCATATCACGTGTCATTCTCTTGAGAATAAGATTATTCGTTTGAGATGTATCCATATTCATGTGTCTTCTATGCGCAACTGTTAAATAAACAAATGATTATGTTAGGAAGTAGCTAGAAAATAACACGTGGCCTGAAATGGAGAAAAATTACGCCTAAGCTCAATGTACCCTTCCCACTAAAAGAATCGTGGATGCGGGGCTAACATGAAAATACAAAAGAAATCACTCTTCGATGGAATTTGCGGCATTTCTTTTGCATTTCCATGATAGCCTTGCATTCGAGACGAATTTTAAAGAGAGTCCATTGATCTACTTGCTTTGACACTTATATTGTAAGGAAAATAAAAGACATATCTAGAAATCAAATCCCTATATTATACTTTGCAAAATTAAGTTTTATCTATTTCATAACATGACTGTGAATATCTATTAATTCCGAATTGTACGAGAAAATCGTGCGATTTTTTGTTGACCATGCACTTAACGAAAATGAGCAACGTAATTGGGACTCTACAGAGTACAATTTTAAACGATTTAATCATTCCCCTTGTCCAATCAGAATCGAGTAATTTTGTTGAGTAACATAAAATGCATAACTAATGTATGATAATAATTAACAAGATAATTAAGTTAATTGATTTTAAAACATGCAACATTATTAATTGCATTTCACATTGTATCAATGTTATATATAGTAAAGCAAAGCAAGCCTAACACTTTTTTTGCCATTAGAATGCAATGCAGGTGGTTGGAATAACCGGCAATGTTAGGAACTCTATTCTCAAGGTCGTTGCTGCGATACTTCATCTCGGAAACATCGACTTTATCGAAGTCGATAATGTAGCTATTCCAGCTAGCGATACTTGTAAGTTAGTAACTAAAATCTGCATGAAACGATGCTTTTACTAGAACGTATACGATGGCTCTCCAAAATACAGCTATTTCTAATAAGGTTGGTAAAGTTTTTGTTTCAAGTTGCATTGAAAGCCCGAAATGCACTATGGACGATGTGAATGCAATCAGCAAAAGGCCACAACGATATGGAATTTTACCAAACTTTGAGTTCAGGATTTTTCGGCATATTTTCTTCTGTGCTGACATAATTTACGTATATGAATCACAACGGATACATTTCAAGCTTTGTATGCAACAAGCAACAAAACCTTCACTCCCAGCCTTTTTTTGAAATAGCTGTAGACCCGATAGACCATCGCCGTTTTTGCTTTTCAGACCAGTCATTCTTATAAAGCTACATCCATATTTACACATCTTGTTAAGTGTTACTGTTATACAGAAAAAAACAATACTCAAGGGAATGACACGTGGACTGAAATGGGGAAATGGGTTATGGTCTATGAAAGTAAACATAAAATGATAGGGGGGGGGGGGGGCAACGCCTTAACGCCACCGTGATGATGCAAGCAGCCATATTAGATGAAGAAGTTATTCCAAGGCAGTA